ACTCGTATAAAAATAAGTATTCTCTAAGAAGGCTCACCTACATCCTCAGGAGCTTATTAAAGTAGAAATCGATTTGTACGCAAGAAAAAATAATTAGCAATAGATTGATTTGAAAAATAAATAATATGTTTTAACTTGAATAAGAGAAATAATTTTTTTAAATGAAATATTTATACAATATGTTATGTATTAAATGTCTAATGAACAATGTACTGAATTTATTATTATAAATAATAATAATTTAATTGATATTACCGAAATTGATGAGCAATAGAAAAATAAGAGAGCCCCCTCTTCAGAAAAATTGTCTGGATTCAACACTGTTCACAATTATTATTGGGTGTAATAACATTTAACAATATAGTCTCATTACTTTAAATTGCAAACATTTAAACATTAACGTAAATAAATACAATCCTTGTAAGCTTGAAAATTACTTTTGCGCAGATATAATTGCTGAGAGAAGCTACATTGAAAAAAATGTATATCTTAATGTTAAAGTAATTTTAAACCCAAATGACCGTAAACGTTAATTAAGGAAAAAATACATTATTTTAAATGGTCACATTGACCAACATGGAATGAAATAAAAATATAATTCTCTACTGACTACTGGCACAGGTAGTATCTATTAATTTTTATCGAATAATGAAAAAATCTGTTTTATATTACGCGTTCTATTTATAATCAAATGTTAATTTATCCAGTACCTATAGTATTTTTTGTATCTGTATTTAAAGTTGTTTTAATTCATTAAGTTTTTATTTCTGAAATAACACCGTTATTACGAACTATTTTAATATTTTATATTGTAAAGGTTTTTGATAAGTTATAATCATTTTACAAACTACTGTTTGTTGGCAATGCCTTATACTTTATAAAAAATAATATTGAAAATCCAGAGTAATCTGATAGTTAATTAACTATTGAAACTTATTGCTGACTTATTTATTATAACATTTTACACTGTTGAAATACTACTTTTACATAATATTATTATGTATAATTAAGTTGTTTGTTGTGTAGAAATTTAGTGAATGCATTTACTAACTGTATTTTTAATTTTAGTACATAACAAATATAACTGATTTTTTAGTGTAATTTTTGTATACATGTGATATTTATCATCTCGTATAGTAATATGTATAATATATCTACAATGAAAAAGTGTATTATAAAAATAAGCATCTATTATGATCGACATTGAGTAAAATTGTAAATATTACTTAGAGGATATTAAGAATTTTTTTTTATTACAGTTCTATTAAATTAATACATCATTTGAATAATTTGATACAATTAGTATAAATGAATAATAGGACGTAATGTAAATTAATTCCATAAAAAATTTCATACGTTGTAAATATAACATAAAATTATGCAATTATATACATTATGTTCAGTAATAAAAACAAATCACAAATATGGAGATAAATATAACTTGCTGAGTGATATGCCCACAGTCTAAGCACATTATGTAGGTATTGTTATCGAACAGTTATAACGATTAATGATTAAATACAATAATATATGAGGCCAATTACATACCTTATATTATAATATATTATCAATTAAGTATTAGAAAACTCACGAAAATTTGAATTTATGAATAAATTAAATATTAGTGAAACAATAATGAACAAACTTATTTTTATTACTATGGTTTTTAGTTACTATAGCTTTTGAATAAAACAATGTTGACATAATACTTATATTAAAAGAACTATAATCACAAAATGCACCATTTTATGACACAAATCAAAGCTTACTCGCAAACATATAAATGTAAACGATTGCAGAAACAGCCATGAATCTACCCGTTGGCCATTACTACATAAGTATTTGGTCCAATGACCATTCAAACATCCCTGCAAACAATTTGTCTCTTCCAATTCATGGAAATCCCTCCAAGAGGTCGAGAATAAACTGTTACAGTGACCTACTCCCAGCTTAAGCTTTTTTTTTTTATCTAAAACCTTAACATTGTAGTCAGTCTGCGGCTTTTAAAAAACGAGTATTTTCAATCTTCAACCGTTTTCTGCAATACATATCATCACTTACGCTTATAATACGTCATTTGTGTGGATCGTGTACATTAAATAAAGAAAACAAATATAGTATATGAAATGTGCAAAGATACAATTTTATATACTATATAGTTTTTAAATAAAAAATACATTTAATACATTGGTGTATTTGTATGCATAATATATTGTAATATTAATATTGGAAGTTCAAATACCTATTGAAAATCTAAACTTCACATTCCAAATGAATGATGGTTCTTTGGTAAGTTGTTGTAAACAAGTAATTATAACTCAAAACCGCATTATAATATTTAAGGTGTACATGTTTGTGGGGGGAGGATTTGTCACTAAAAACCTGGGTGGTCAAAACCGGGAGCTAGCTATGCTGGACGATGCTTGACCACAGCACACAGCTCACATTAACAACTGCGGCCAACTACTGCACCAAACCAGACCCCTACAAGATTTTTATTTTGCTATAATTTATCTAAACATTCTAAACTGAGTGAAATAATAAATATTATTCCTATATAATATTGAATGTGTGATCATCAATTTATTCAATATTATATCTAATGCATAGTAATTAATATGATATGTTAATGTAGTAGTCAATGATTTAACTTGAATTAAGGTGATTTACATTAATGAAGATATTATATTATAATGAAATTTCTTTTTTTTTTTTGATATGAATGAAAACGCAACATACATAATACTATAAATTAATGAATTTTCTAATGTATATTTATTTTCTAAATAATATTACTGTTATTGTTCGGTCAATTATATGTGATAAATAATTCTACAAAAACAGTTACCAATTGTCATTATGCTAATAATTGATTTTTTCATAAATTAATAAAAAAAACTAATTTTAAATTAATATATCGATGGTTAGGTAAATTAAATATATATATTTATTATAGTATAAGTATATATTACTAAATCAAATTATATGAATTTACCTATAATCAAAAAACAATTAAGGACCTAATTTTGTATGCAAGAATATTTATGTATGAAAATAAATGGTTACTTTGTTATTAGTTTCTGTTGACATAGGTAGATATGAATTATGATGACCTAGATTCACGTATTGTAAGCATAGCTCCAAGAAAATATATCTTAATAATGTAAATATATTTGTTATTATTATCTGATGAAGCTGTCGTATTATCCTACTGCCGGGTGGTTTTAGTTTTTTTTTATTGAAAAGAAGAAAGTAAATGGTTATGTTAAATGTTATGACTCTCTGCTCATAAAGTTATTACAAATATATTTTCTTAAAAATTATTCTTAGTAAATGTCCTGTTATTATTACCTAACGCCTAATAATGTATTGCATTATGCAACACAATGAGCATGTACAACCAACATTTTGGTATAAGGTATTTCGACGTTCTTCGGATATCGTTTTTAAAAGCTAAAATAAAATATGTTCTGATGCTGCATGATCTGATGACAATAATATTTTAATAATAATAAAATATGTCTTCTGCTTATTATAATAATAGTTACTGTCTAAAAGTAAGAGATTTGTGTGTTATTATTATAGTTACTTTTATATTTTAGAACAGTCATATAAAATACAGACAAGAATCATGTACGGTTGAGTTCAAGATATAAAAAGTACTTGGCTTTTTTCCATTTAGCCACAAAATATATTATTTTGTTTCTTACTAAGATAATGCAAGCATTGGTGATAAACTCGAAAAGAAAATTTAAATATTAAAGTTTATATATGAATTGTACATAACATTTTATGTTTTAAATGTTTAGAATTGATTCTGTAGTCTAGCAAGTTGATTTGAATATGTTTATGTTTAATTTTCATAAATGAAATTTGCAAGTTATTTTTGTCATAAATATTTTAAAACTATATTGTATATTTGTTTAATACTCGTGGATATGTCGTATGTATTATTTTTTATCGAATTAATATAAGACTGTCTGTGTTTTATAAGTTTTTATTACTAAAATACATACTCTAGATAGTATTAGTGTTGTGCTAAATAATTTATTGGTCAAAAGACAATAACATTATACTTTAAGCGTTAAGTTTTTATTTTTCATAAAACACACCTAATTTGTTAAGAACTAATTACACGTAAGAGATAATACACATTTGAAATCAAAGAGACTCCGAGATCCAGATAAACATTTCTTACTCAAATATTTATAAATTTAATATTATATACATGAAGACATGGAACATTGTATATTTACTCACATTCATTTTTTAAATAATAGTTATATAATGATTTTTGGCGCCATCGTTTAAACACTTAGGTTTACAACAATGTTGTCATGAAATATAAGTCGGATACTTTATAATATCGGAATGCCTTGTGGACTCAATATAAGCTAATGTTCTTATGCTGATGATAAATAACATTATTTAGGGGTTTTATATTATTGTGAAAACTACCTGAAATCTGAATAACTGTATAAAGGTGGATTGCCAAAAACGAAAAGAATAATTGGGTGCCCGTCCTGGAAACGTTCCAATACATTTGCGGCTAGATATATAATGATATTAAAGTTTTATTTTTCATTACAAGCAACGTGTTTTTTTCCTAGTAGTTCCGACTTCCATCGTTTTGGCAGTCACCCAATGTTTACAAAAGTTCCTTAAAAATTGTTCCGAGTAGCATATATTATTAATGTGTATTAAGCTGTAAGTAAACAGATATGATCGGCGGCAGATTGTGATGATGAAGTTATTTCGTGCAACAAATTGAATACAAATGTAAGATAACATGTTTAAACATTGTTTTAAGCGTACTTATACCTATATTGCGTATTATGATCACAAAATCTCGACATATGTATTAGGTACGTATGGGACATGGGCTGATTTAAAATATAATAGAGGCTTAATAATTTTACACTCAGTATATCATTTAGATCATTATACTTGCCGTAGGTACCTATGCAAAAATAAAAAAATAAAAAATTGTGTTACTAATTCAATGGAGAATTTTTTTGAATAAAAATTAATTTAATAAAATTATTAGTACTCGAAGATTATTATTATGCTCGGTCAGTACGGTAGTCGTCTAAACGCCATTATTTTACGTTTACGGACGTATGTATCTTTCATCCCAGCATTGTTGTGTTGAGGAGCCAAACAATAGAAATAGTATGCTACACGTGATTGACAGAATGATGGTCACCTGGAATGTTACGCACCAGTTCATGGTGTCTGCTAATAAACATCGAATCACCACCGAATCAATTACATTTCCCATAGAGTAAAAAACATCACACATTGCTATTAGACTTCCCACATAACCTGAAATTGTTTAATAATGAAATTCAATGAAATTCTCCTCAAAAGTGTTTATGAAGTAAAAGCGTATTTTTACAAGCGCTCAAGTGTGTGTGTATCCAATAAATAAAGACTTATCAGAATAATAAATTATGATTAGAATTTTATATATTTTATATGAGTTTAATATGGATATTATAATAATACGTTATTACTTACTTACTGTTATTACTATAACGAACTTTTAACACGGTACGTTGATATTAAGTAAAAATAGAAGAAATATAAATAGAATATATATGAGTACTTACTAGAGTTTTTTAAAAACAATATTCTATCTGTACAATCATTTTAAAATCAATACATTATGGTTGGGTAGTTTTTCACGAAAAGACAAGAAATTTTACTGAACAGTTAGTAATAATTATTATAATATAGTATGCTATACAAGGGGTTTGATCAAGCATGTTCGTGGTTAACTTCTTTTTCTTCAATAATGTAGTTATTCAAAATCTAATTTTTAATTATACTTAGATATCATATTTTTAAATTCTTATGATTTTTGTACTGTTTAAGAAGGATTCTGTGGAGGTATAATAAACTAATATTTTTTCAAATTACAACTCTACTTTTCTACTGCAAATTATTTAGAGGATAATTTTTCTTAAAATGTTGGACTCGTCAGAATCAAAATTCAGACTAGTAGTTTTTGAGTTATTTAACTTTTGAAATCAGATTTTTAATAACCGCATTATTGAAGGAAAAAGTGAAGGGCTTGGCGAAATCACCCTGTATAGAACATCTATCTTAGTAGACTCTTATCAATTTAGAATAGTGAGTATAAGGCGTATACCTAACTTCACGTATATCAATTCAATGAAATTGTGTTTTTTTACTTACCGGGACATAAGTCCATAGAATTTATCCGAATACTGTTTCGTTCAAAGCCCAATAATATCACTGCCATACTTATAAATGTTTTGGCATACGACTCGTTACATCCAGAGAGGAAGGCGCCCAAGAGCATAAACGGTGATCCGATTAACACAATTCCTACGTACATCTTCCTGATCATTGTTTTCGTAATCGTGTCAATGTTCGCCAACGACTCGCCTAAGATTCCTGCGATTATAGACGTGATCCAACCGATTAGCCATGTCGCAAATACTGGTATGCCGTTTTTTACAACATCGCCACCTAGGACATTGGCAGTATAAATCGGTATCCCGGTAGTGATGAAGTTGTATAAAAATCCGAATCTGAAAAATAGAAGTATTTGAATAACAAGATATTAGTGTAATATCTTTGTACCTACCTATCTACCTACTTATCATGTCTATAATATATTATCAAAGTTTTTTTTTAATGTGCTAAACACAATTAATGTAACTCAGGATCAAGGGGATTCGGGCAAATACTGTTTTCTCCATGGCTCTTTTCCGCTAATTTTAAAAAAGGTTTGATTCCTGTTTCCACCAATATATTTATCAACTTATTTTGGCAAAACTATTAAACTTATACTCCATATTTACTTAAATACGCCAGTAATAAATATTTGGTAGGTACCCATTAGAATTTAATATACCTAATATAATATGTCGAATGTACGTGTATAAAAATAAATGATAATTTTTTTGTTTATAAGATAGTATGGTATGTTTAAATTTTAAGTCTTAACTATACATGGCTCAAATAAGAAAAAGCCACTCTACATAAATAATAATACATAAACACCTACATGGTATTTTTTATTCCACATAGTTTCCATACACATAATAATGACAATAACTAATAAGTCATATGAAACAATTTATGTTATAACATAATACATTATACTATATCAAATGAATTGTGTAGATTTTATACAATTTGTGTAAATGTATACAAAATGAGAAAGAATTTTTAGTTGTTTTATAATATTTTGAATGTATAACATTATAATACATTTTGGTGAAAAGGGGTAATTACCAGGGATTAGGTCCTACTAAAGTAGGACTACTATCTTATGCAAGCTATACAAACTATCCTAGTCCTCGTGGTCACAACATATTACATTACATTATACATTGTATCGGTTAAACAGGTATCGGTTTGTTCATAAAGTTGCTAAAAGATTGATAGCTTTGACAAAAAGATTTCTTACTTCGCAAAAATATAAACAACCCACATACTAATACTTAGAAAATTCCCTATATTGAACTCCTCAAAAACAGTTATTATTGGATATACTTAAAATGTATAAAATTACTATTTTTGACAAGTAGTTAAATGTTATTATATTTTTAAACATGATCGGTAAATGTAATGGAGTAGACTATACCCTTTCGTTTAATTTTTTGGGAACCATTTGTAATTTAATTTAAACAATATACTTTAAATTTTGTTAAAAAAAGTGTGAACATACATTTGAGTATAATGTATATTTAATACGGGGTTTACCAAGCATGCTCACCCCCATTGGCCCCATTTCATGTTGAAGTAAGTGCAAAGTACCTACATAAGTATCAAATCAATATTTATAGAAAAAAAACTTTACAACGACTTTTGGTAGAATATCCGTTCTATAAAGATATACAGATTATAATATACGGTGCATAGTAGAACGCAAAACAAATATGCTGCAAGGGGATTAAAACCAGCTTTCTCGACTCATCCTATCTGAATATCCTACTTGTGATCCCCAACACGCAATTTCCTACTTAGAATTCTCTTTTAGAAATTGTAACAATAATAATAATCAAGTATATTGAATACAGCAGCCATGTCTCCCTTACCCGAAAGATGCGTTCAGCAGACTGACAAACGGCATAGATCGCATGATTACTGTCCAAGCTGTCGAGATGAACGCGGCAGACCGGGGGGTGTTGTTTACATCACTGGCGTAAGGTGTGAGATGAATCATGGTCGCCCACACGGCCACCCAGATGAATCCGAGGGCGGACAGTGCCAAGTAGCTGCCTTCATGCGATATGTTAGGTATGGCGATTCCACTGAACAAGTGCCCGAAGGAGCCACCGAACATCGTGCCGGAGAACATGAACGTCGAGTACAGGATAATGTTCGTTTTCGGTATGATTTTACCGGCCAAAGTCCCGCCGCACGACCCGGCAGGTCCGAACGCACACCTGAACAACACGAATACACGATATCGAAACAGGTGATGATCATAATATTTTTTTTGGTAAAAAGCAATCATCACATCGATGTATTGAACAAGATTAAAACAAACAGAGATCAAACAATTTATTCGAGTAATCAACACAATTAAAGAAAATAATTTTATTTCTAGGTCGGCATACATAATAGGTAATGCACATCATCCATGACTAATATATGATCTACATATTATTCATTTTATAAATCGTTTCTATCTGTTATATAGGTAGATTATTTCTACGTTAGTCATATGCTCTGTTCGACTGACTAGGTGTATTACATACAGGCGGTTTTTGTTTAGTGTATTTACTATTTTTTTTTCTCGCTTGTAATGTTCCGGGAAGTATACCTAAAGTATTATTTTTAATTACTATTCTTAAACGTTTCAAAATATAAAATTGTTTACGATTTATGTAATCTCAAAATTAAATATTCTTTGTATTTTCTGGGATATTGCCAAGTTCGTGAAAAAATAATCACCCTGTAATCTGTATAATCGATTTAATAATGTTAGGTTATATTATGAGGTTGGTTGAATTATCATTTGAAGGGGATTATTTAGGTAGGCATAATGTAATCTTATGAGAGTTTATGGTGATAGGTTATCCTGGTTATATGAGATTATAAGTGAGGTATATATCCGTCACTAGTCACTACAAACATAACAGTTTCTGCCACATCAAAATTATTACTCTACTGTTACATTATTATATTTTAAACAGATATTATTTTTCGGACCAACCGATTTTACAGATTAAAATCGCCAAATATTGCTTGCAGTTATTTAATCATCGTAAATTATGTATTACAACTGCTTCTGTATATAAATGTTATATTTTGGAGCATTCAGTATATTTCGAGAGTGCGTGAACAGTGGGCGTAAATAACTGAACACAATTAAAACTTATTCTACTGATATCGTAATAAGCAAAAAGTGTACAAATATTTGTCCATAACATAATATACAAGTACAGGTAGATATAAATATATAATATAACTCCCACAGACTATATTATGAAATCATAGCAAAGTATATTTTATACCGTCTGTGATTGTAGAATTATGCTATTATTGTCTATTGAAGACGATTTGTATTTTATATTATTTTGAAAACAATTGTCAATTGTTTGTGGAACGAAAACTTTTAATTAATTTAGTATAATAGAATAATATAGATACATAAAGTCATCCGAAAATTAATTAGGTGTAATATTTAGGTTAATGTAATTAAATTTCAAATGGTAAAATAATTGTTACTTAAATGTATAAAAGATCTCAGGTTAAATTTCAAAAGAAAACTTTTAAATTAAACCCGGAGGTTGTTTCTCTCAGACTTTGTATTTTAGATTTTTATAAATATTATATTTGTTCAGGTACTTTTTTGAAAAGTTTTTAATCACATAATTTGAAACGGAGAATTTACTTGTCCATCCTGATTATCTACTACTTTAGTTGAGCTCTTTTTGTAAATACATGAAAAAAATTTTAACAATAGAAATTTAGACAGGGAACTATTATATTTAAAAAGATTTTAGAAAGGCTTTAAAGATGTTATTTTAATTAACAATTCATTTTTTAATATTTTTTTTTTTTTACAACAATATTAAACACATACCTAGTTCATAACATGCTCAATATTCTTTCGTTAATTAAATTCTAAAGCATACGAAAGCAAGTATAAAAATAATACTAACTACATATAATTTACAGTTATTGTTTTAACAATATAGTTTTAAAAAAACGAGAAAAATAACTAAAATTATCTAATCGATTGCCTTAGCTAAAATTGAAATAAATTATAATGACTTTTAGTTTAGTTAGATCAATTTATGAGCATTATCTTAGTCTAGAGTTAATAAATTTAGTTATTTAATAATTGCACGTGGTGCCATGCTCATATTAATGGTGAGTTGTAGCATAGGTAACAAAAAAAAACCACATAGAATTTGCATTGTGATTACTGATTAACAAACGATGGTCCGTTTAAGAATTCAGAATACAAGGCAGAATGCTAGAAAAATCTAGGATAGAAAAATGTGGGTCGTAACATAAACGTCGCTGTATCAGATTTTTAAGATTAAGAATTTATAAGAGAAATAAAAAATGTGTACATAGGTCACATTTGAAAAAATCCTCTGATTTGAGTATACGTGATAGGATTGTAGTACAAAATTTAAATATTTATAAAAATAAAAATAAAAATAAGTTGTCTCAAATAAATACATTCATAATGCAGTATATAAGAACATAATAATATTACATACGGTTTAACTGAATCGAAATCGATTTTTTTTTCTCCACAACCGTTGTATAATGTATAAACACACAGTTACATAATATTGTATATTATTAGCTATAACATCATTGGAGTTATGAATAAATATAGCTGAGAAATATTTTTAATTTAGCTTATATTTATAATATTTTGGCCTCGTACAATGCATTCAACTCAAAATAATCAAGAATTTAGGGAATCGCTTAAAATCTTAACAGACAGTACACAAATAAATGTGTTTACGCTTAACATAGAACTTATCTCGAAGACTTGTACAAAAATATATTAGGTATAGTAATAACCTTGAAAAATATAAACCTACCCATTATTTTTCTACAATTGTTTAGTGGTTCGTGTATTGTTCTTTTTTTATTGTTTTGAAAATATATAAAATATAAATTTAATATTCGCTGTGAAATTACATTATTTTGTAAAAAAGGAAAGATAAAATCTCATAACTCGCATATAATTATGTTATGAAATTTTCGTTTTTGAATATTTTAATATAAAATAGCTAATTCTATATAATTATAATAAACAATATATTTTAAAATATATTCCCAATTTCATTTGAGATATTTGAAGTAAATATTTAAATTTAACCTATAATTTGGCATTTATGTGAGAATGATCGATAAATAATAATAGCAAATTGTTTCAATAATTTAATAAAAAAATAAAACAAAATTGTTGGTAGGTTATTTTATATTTTGTACACAAATCATCCTATTTTTAATATATTTATATATATTTTTTTCGTTACCTAGTTTATTTTTATCTTTATCCATATCTACGTTAGCTCTTAAGTATAACCCACATGAATCTTAATTTTTTACGAGTATTTCACATGCAATTACTTTAGATAGGTACCTACATATAAAAAAATTGTTTTTTTAAAATTAAATGTGTCTCTCAATTTTCATTATACATAATAATACTATTAACTATTTTTCGTTGATTAAAAACAATATCTTATGGCTTATATTTATAATATAATATAATATAATATATTCATAATATATATTGAGTATGGGTACTTAAAATTGTATGTGTTTAGACTAAGATGAAATTATTAATTATGGATAGTTCAATAGTTGTTGACAGTCACTTGTCTCGCTCCGCACATATCAGTAGTTAGTAGTAAGTAGTAAGTAAGAAAGTAAGTATAGTTGATTAGTTGATTATATTTTGTTGTACATCATTGTGTTTGATAAATTATTTCGAGTTTCCAACAATAGTGTTTATAGAGTGATCAAGAACTCATAAAAATAATTTAATTTAATTACATTTTTTTTTTTATCTTGCCGATTAATCAATATCTTACGATAAGACTCATATACAATTTACGGCCATGTTATAATAAATTACAATACAAAATCTATAAATAAATAATATTATTGTCAAGTTAAAAAAATTTACCAACATATAAAATATATACAAATGCTTAAGAAAAAATGTTGTCATATCATGTAAATTATTGATTTTTAGTTTCATATGTTTTAAATCCGCATTGTTTTCAATCTTAGATATATTTTCTTTTTTTAGACCTTTTTAAGAGAATTTTAATTATTTATTATTATTTTTTAAATTAAATATCATAACAAACTATATTGGTTATGTATATATATATATTTGTTATAATTATTCTTCATTTAGATCAAAAACGTTTTCGGTTTATCAAATAAATAATCAGTGCACAATAATTATCCAAGTCTATAAATGTATTAAGTATTGTTTGAAAAACAATAAATATTAGAATAACAATAATGTACTGAGATGGATATGTCGTAACCATCTCATTATTTTATAGTTAGTTTTTTTATATTATTTTATAGTTTTTTGTTTTATTTTTTTATTTCTCTTACGTCATAGCCACAACTGAGAAATTTGACAAAGTATATTGTCACATAAAAATGTATCTTATTACGCAAAATCATTTTAAGTCAAACAAAATAATCACTCGAAAAAAAAATAATGAATACGAAGAATCGAGATAGAGAATTACGAAAAACTCGAAATTCTAGAATTGGCCATAATAATGAAGTATTCAGAATACAGTAACTCAACAATCAGCTGTCAGAAAATGCTAGAGGATACGTCAAATGGAAGGGAGGGGGTGCTGATAGTGGTTAAGTCGGTCGTAAATACGATGTCGATATGAAAACGAATTTTTATGGAGTGGAAAATGTGAAGTTAATAACATTATAAATTAAAATACTTAATGACATTGTTATACAATGAGAACATCTAATAATAATCATCTAAAAAAAGTGTGTGGGCGGATGTCTCGGGTTCGTGGGTGTCGGTGTTACCCAACAGCGCCGGCAGGGCCGTATTGAATCCACGGTTGTATTTCGAAGCTTAAATATTCGTCCGAATAATTAAGTTATTATTATTATTATTATTATTATTATTGGTGTTGTTGTTGTTGTTGTTGTTGTTCGTATAGGTAATATAATACATACTACTGCGCCACGTTAAGACTTTTAGGTACCCTTATGCTCTTATCTGAATAGCATCCTAAAATTCTATTAAATTTGTGTTTGCTCCACCGCAATCGTTGGTACCTACTAGAGTACTCACTGTCCCCATCATTAACACAAATATGAATATTATTATTGGATAGTGTGAAACGTATTTTTTGGGTCCTAAAAAAGGCTCAATACTATTACTCAGGATTTTTTTTTGTTATAT